CATCAGGTCTCCTGCCCTGTGCATGGCTCGCTACTCAGCCCAGGGGCCTGGCATTGGCATGCTTAGGGCCCCAAGGCCTATCTCGCTGACCCTGCAGCTGCAGGGCCGGCACAGAGAACCCCAGCGTTCCGCTTGCTATGGCCTGGCTCGCCTGCCATCTCTGCTGGCAGAGGCCTCCTGCTCACTCTGCCCCGGGCAGAAGTTGCAGCCGGATGCTCCATGCCCGGGCAGCACCCCTGAGCCAGCCTCTCTCTCCCCTGACAGCTGGTACCATGGGGCAATCAGCCGGACGGACGCTGAGACCCTGCTGAGGCTGTGTAAGGAGGCCAGCTACCTTGTGCGCAACAGTGAGACCAGCAAGAACGACTTCTCTCTGTCTCTCAAGTGAGTGTGCTCAGCCAGGCCAGGGGTGGGGCTGGGCAGCCAGGGAGAGGAGGAGCCCAGCCCCGAACATTAACAGCAATTAATGTTAGAACCTGTTGGGGATGGATCAAAGGGGCATGCAGGAGGGGGAAGGGCACACTATGTCTAAAAGGGCAGTACCTCTTTCCAAGGCACTGATAACTTGGAAGAAAAGGATCTTGCATGCTTATGGATCAACGCCCTTCCAGATAAAACACAGGGCAGGGTGGTAGTTGGTGTCTGCTAAAAACCACCAAATCACACTAGCGAAGAAAAACACTCGGTGACCTTCGGGGACTTCAATTTGAGTGACGCATGCTGGAGGTCTCTATTCTACAGCATCCTTGGAATTTCTAAACATTATAGATGACAGTTTCCTAGCTCAGAAAGTGTGGCAGCCAACACAGGTATTAAATCATGTCTTGACACTTAAAGAGAAATTGATCAGAGAACTAAAACTTAATGGTAGCTTAGGTGTAAGTGATTGTGACTTGATCACATTTATAATGTGCAAGCAGCGTAAAGTCCAGACCAGTAATATATGTACCGGGCGCTTTTACAGGGCTACTTGCACAGCGCTGAAAACAATTCTGAGCCAAATGTGTTGGGAGAAAGAATTTAATCAGAAAAAATACGATTTGTGAATCTTAAAAATACCTGACTAAATGCCACAATCCCACAGTTGAGGAAGAAAGCTGAGCTGGTTAAAAAAACCAACCTGGCTTAGAGGAAATGTGAAGGCAGCTGTGAAAAACAAACAAAAAAGTACTTATATATCTGCTTATATAAACAATGGAAGAAAGGAGTAGTTGATAGAAATGAAATCAAAGTTAGGAATTATAGAAAATTGATAAGGGAAGCTAAGAGTCACAAGCAGCGTCAAGGACAATAAGAAAGAAATTGTTTTAAAACAATATTAGAAACCAAACAAAAACAAATTCTGACAATGGTATTGGTACATTATTAGACAGAAATGGTAGAATTACCAATAATGATGCAGAAAAGGCCAAGATGTTCATTAACTATTTCTGTTCTGGAAAAAAAACACGATATAGTCTCATGATGTGGTGGTGAGACGATGCTTTCTATTCCACTGGTTCTTCTGGAGAAGGTAAAAAAGAACAAATATTAGCCAGACATTTTTAAATCAGCATGTCCAGACTCTGGAGGAAGTCAAAGAGCAACTATTAGTCAGACATTTTTAAATCAGCATGTCCAGATACCTTGCATTCAAGAGTTTGAAAAGAGCTGACTTGAATGTTGATTTGCTATATGGCTTGGAGAACTGCAGAAGTAAGCTAATGTTGTGCCAATTATTAAAAAGGGTAAATAGGATGACCCGAGTAATTGCAGGCCTGTCGGCCTGACATTGATCCAGACAAAATAATAATGCAGCTGATACGGGACTTGATTAATAATGAACTGAGGGTAATGTAATTAATTCCAATCAATATGGTTTGTAGCAAATATTGAATTAAGTTGATATCTTTTTGATGAGATTCCAAGTTTGATTGATAAAGATATTAATGTTGACATACATTTAGACTTCCGTGAGGCGTATGCCTTGTTGCCATAATATCAGCTTAGCAATGATACCGTTAAATGGCTACAGCAACTGGCTAGCGGATAGATCTCAAAATGTAACTCTCCCCTGGGAATTATCACTGAGCAGGTGAGTTTCCAAGTGGGATCCCACAAGGATCAGCTCTTGGCCCTGCGCTGTTTCACACTTTGATCAGTGACCTAGGAGAAACCAGAAAATCAGCACTGATAAAATCTGCAGATGGCACAAAAATTGGGGGAGTGGTAAATAAGGAAGACAAGTCATTGATGCAGCGTGCTCTGGATTGCCTGGTAAACTGGCTGTCAGCAAACAGTCTGCGTTGTTAATCCAGCAGGATGTGAATATATACATCTAGGAACAAACAATACAGGCCACTGTTACAGCATGGGGACTGTATCCTGAGAAGCAGGGACTCTGAAAAAGACTTGGGGGTTATGGGGGCTGATCAGCTGTCCATGAGCTCCCAGTGTGAGGCTGTGGCCAAAAGGGCTAATCGTGATCTGGGATGTGTCACCAGGGGACTCTTGTGTAAGAGCAGAGTTTTCAGCTCCGTGTTTGGCACTGCTGTGGTGTAGCGCCTGCTGTTCTGATCCCCACAATGCAAGAAGCTTAATAAATTGGAGAGGGGTCAGAAAAGAGCCACAGGAATGACGAAAGGGTTAGAAAATCTGCCTTGCAGTCGTGGGCAGCGGGGATAAGAGGCGGGGGAAGGCAATGCCTTCCCAAACTGGGAGGCAGGGCCCCGCCCACACTCCACACCCCAGCTTCAGCACCTGGCTACGACTGCACCCTCCCCATGCCTTGGGGGCAGGGGGGCTGGAGGCTGGTCCCTGTGGGGGGCGGGGCTTCAGGCAGCTTGCCTCCCCCAGCTCTCCGTTTCCCACCGCCCATGCTTATAGTGATAGACGCCCGTCTCGATCCGTTTAGCTTACCAAAGAGAAGGTTAAGGGGTGACTTGATCTCCGTCTACAGATGGCACAAGGTGTAAATTGTCACCTGAGAGTAATTAGCCGTTGGAACAGCTTCCTGAGGGTGGAGATGGATTCTCCACCACTGACGATTTGTCAGAGCAGACCGGCTGTTCTGGAAGCTCTGGAAGGACTGAGGCTCGGGCTGAGAGCAGGGGCAGGCAGTCGGGGGAGTGACCCACGGGCGGGCAGAGCCGGGGCTAGGCACTGGTGCTTGCTGCAGGACTGGTGCAGCGCCAGCCCTGGAATGGAGCCGGGATTCACTTTGCCCCGCTCCCTGGGAGCCGCCGGCCTCGGCTCAGTCGCTGCAGCAGCACAGCCCCCACCCTGGGCTGGCTCCGCTCCCGCGCTCGCAAATGGATGTGAAACCCATTCCACTAATGCAGCCATCAATCCATCGCGGGCACGGCCCCCGGGTGAGGCGCAGCTGCTGTGGTGCCGGGGGCTGGGGGAGGGGGCTGGCCGCAGAGCTGGAAACAGCTCAGCCTCAGCGCTCGGGCGGCTCGCGAGCTATCAATATTTTGCGGTAATGTGCCTTCCAGACGCGGCAGACAGGCTGTGGCGCTCCTCGGAGACGCAAATTAATAGCAACAGGGCCATTAGCCCGTCACTTGGAATCCACAGCTGCGGCGGTCCCTTCCCACGCGGCTCCGCCGGCACGGGGCCCTCGTCGCTCCCCAGAGGGGCTCATGGCTTTTGCACAGGCCGAGGCAGGAAGCAGAGATGTAACGGGATCTGCTTTCTGGGTCAGGCTGGGGCTTGGAGAACAGCCTCTGCCCAGGCCGGGGAAGGCGCTCCGGCCCGTGGGGCTCAGGCTGCGGGTGCCTCATGTCGCTGGGGGGGACGTGGGCCGCAGGGCAGCGTGCGGTGCAGAGCGCACCCTGCTACCAAGGCACCCCCGTCACCCAGCTGCCTGGGGGCCCTTCTCCAGCAGGGAGCGAGGTCTGGCCAACAGGCCCTCTGGGAGCAGAGGATTGTGGGAAGGCGCCAGGAGGGTTTAGTTCCCCTCCAGGGACCCAGACAAGGGAACTGGCTGTTTTCGAAAGTGCTGCAGGCCCCAGGGACCTGCCAAGGCTGTGCAGCTTGTGCCTGAACCCAAGTGTCCCTGTTGGAAGGGGGCTGACTCGTGCCTGGAGCCACCCTGCAGCAGGGGCCGCAGATCAGGGGGTGTTTGGCGCTGTGAGGGGCTGCAGGGGTAGGTGAGCAGGATGCATGAGACTCGGCCGTCGAACGCCCCTGTGCCCCCTTGCCCTGCGGTCACATACTGGAGGGCTGGGCCGGCTGGCACTAAGCTGTGTGAAGGGGAGGCCATGCAGCCCCAGGCAGGGCAGCTGGCTTTGTCTCTTTCTCCCGGTAGGAGCAGCCAGGGTTTCATGCACATGAAACTCTCCCGCACCCCAGAGAACAAATACGTGCTGGGCCAGAACAGCCCCCTGTTCGACAGCGTGCCCAGGATCATCCACCACTACGCCAGTCACAAGCTGCCCATCAAGGGGGCCGAGCACATGTCTCTGCTCTACCCAGTGGCTATCCGAACCCTATAGCCCAGCAGGGAGTGCCGGGAGCCCCCGGCCTGGGCCTGGCATGCACGCAGCTCGCCGAAGGCAGCCCCCAGCCTGGCGTACGGAGCAGAGCCAGGGACGGACTCCGGGCCGCAGGCCGAAGTACAGCCTGGCAGGCGCCGGGAGTGGCAGGACCGCTAGCGGCACGCCGGCTCCTTGCCGCCAGGAGAGCTCTCCAGGAGGGAGGCGCCCCTTCTCTGGGACCAGCCTGTGTACATACCCCAGGGACAGGGTTGGGCCTGACTGTCGCCGTGCCCGCTGCCCCCGGCCGCTCTCCCCCCGCCTGCAGGCCTGTCCCAGCTGGCTCCCCAGGCTGGGCACAGAACAGGGGCCTGGGCTTTGGTGGAGTCCCAGGGACCAAGGGGGATAATTTATTGCTAAGCCGGGTACGTGGCCCTTTTCCAGAGGGGCTGGCTCCTGGCAGTGCTGGCCGGCCCACAGGTGGCGTGAAGGAGCTGTGGGGTAGATGCCAGTTGCAGATGCCTTGGGCTGCCCCCCAGTATCACCGAGAATTGACTGGAGGAGAAAGCCAGGCAGGGGGAGCTGGGCCGGTCCGTGGAGGAGGACTGCTGCTGCTGGAGGAGGACGACTCCGTGGGATGGGCCACCGGGCCGGCTGGCGTAGCTCACTGCAGAGCTGGGACCGTGGGCAGGGGACCCTTCACTGCGCTCCTTGGCCAATGTACACACCGAGTGTGCCGCACCAGCACCAATAAAGCCGCGCGAAGCTGCCACCCTCCCAGTGAGATATGGGGCAGCGCTGGCCCTGCCCCCGCCCCACCCACGGGCCTCTACAGCTCATGGGGCTCAAAGGCGGGGGCGTCCGCCCCTAGGTCACAGCCTCTTCCTCCAGCCCCAATCCAGCTCCCTCGGCTGGGTGGGAGGCTCCAACGCCTTCCCTTCGGAGGGGGGCAGGCCTGGGTCACAGGGTCAGAACTCCAGGCTCCCAGCCCAGTGCTCAGGCCCATCGCCCTCGTGCACTCCAGGCCTGGCAGCATCGAGGGCCGTCCCCCCAGCACGGGGACGGCAAGGAGCTGAAGGACACGGGCCGGGAGACCCAGCCTGGACGCCAGCCCGCCGTGCTGCAGGGCGCAGGCCTGACCCTGCTGTCTTGGGAGATGAGCCAGGCACCGCTCCCTCGCAGGAACAGAAGCTGCTGGGGCGTCTGAGAGCGGAGGAGCCCATCCCCAAGCCAGTGTGGGTGAATCGCCCTGGGCCCCCAGCTAGCG